CTTGAAGACTTTGCCTGTAGCCATGTGGCATCAGTAAAAAGAAGAATTCTTCCAGTGCTGCTGGTGCAAGACAATTGTAATTCAGCATCGTACAGTCAGGTTTGTGCCTCAACCAGTTCAGTCACTTGACCTGTGAGAGACTCTGTCACTGCAGTCACAACATCTCCACTGTCAATAAATCACTCACACATTTCAAACCTTGTGCGTAAAATACGAGTCACTGTTGATTACATTTTACTCATATTTTCCAGATTCTTTTTCAACAATGCGTTTTTATACTTATCAATAAAACACGTTTGTTAGACGCTTTGTAAAACAAAACTATAAAGCTTGATCTAAGAGGTGCTCTCGATTACAGCTCGCCATAACTTTGTCATTAGGCTCAAGATGTATCAATAAAACAAACACTGAGGCAAATGTATTTATGTCACACTCAGCAGACAACAGGCAATTCACAGCGCAAATACAATAAAGTAAGACATTAAACTTTCATTTAACGAACAATAAAACAATTTAAAGTGCTCGTCAGAGGCACTGCTGGAAAAATAAAAAACATTTAAAAAACAATAAGTAAATGTAAAAGTTATGTTATGAGGACATAATAAAAGTAACATAAAATAAAAAAAAACAAGATGACAGTTAGCTGTTGACAGCTAGCTTTTAACCTTGTACGTTGTATATGAGTCTCTGCCGAGGTATTCTCCATCATCCCTTCATCGCTTTGAAAGAAAATACGATTTGACTAAAGCATTCGACCGTTTGGTGGAATGTAATTAGTTTTTATACAGTGAGTAAAAAATAGACACAAATATCTTTTGGCCTTTGGTCAATTGTTGTGATGAACAGATAATAGAAATAATTTTATCCTTGATCTGCACCAGGAGCTGGCTACACCAGCAGATCGCAAAGGGAGTGCTAGTAGATCACGAGCAATGAAAAGAAAAAATATGGAAGAATTGAATCATATTGTGCCATACATCTACATGCATTTAATCAGTACCCCAAACATATGATGTACACGGGGTAATCGGTTTACGACGACCTAGGGCGTTTTGTGGTTACGTCTCTCATAAATGTATCAAGAAAGTCTTGTTCTATCATTCTGATGTACGTAATTTAGAAAATAAAATCACACAGGAAGTAGTTGACAGGAACCAATATGTCTTCATGCGCTGCTATACATGGTAGACGTCTTTGTTTACGTTCACTGTCCGTATCTGTCAGAGGTCGTAAACAAGTCTGATCCAAAAGACCACCTTCGATGTGTAATTACTGAAGACAAATCCAAAAAAGATCCACCAGTCACTGGATTGATGGCTCCTCTAAAACATCAAAGTTATACATATTTAACTACACACATACATATTTTTAAGTTATACTAAGCAATATGTCAGAAAGTACAAGTCTGTCCTTTTAGATGTGACTCATGTCAACTTGTACGTGTCTTGTCTTTTAATCTTTCATAAAGCTAGCTCAACACTACGGAAAAAGGAAACGATCGAAAGAGATTGAAAGAAAAAAAAATGGCAACCTACACACAACAACCCCGGAGCTCTAAGGTGAGACATTTGTTCAGCAAAAGGAACTCTTTATTTGTTTTTTTTTCTGCTCTTGTTTTGTGCACGTTCAATAAACCTGTACTTGTTGTGTAGGCTACATGTTGTTGCATGAGCCGACCAATGTGTCCGTCAGAACCACAGCAACGTGGCTGAACAAACGCACAATGAAAAATGCCCGCACATTTCCTTGGTTTCTCACAGTTGAGAACAAAAGTCCTTATCAGACCTGCATATAATTCAGCAGGTTAATTGGAGGAAAACTAAATGTATTGTGCATCTAAACTGGGCTGTTAAAACAAGATAAGAACCACATGAGTAAGTAAGGGGCACCGGCCACTGAAGGGATTGTTTAATGCAGAAAGTGTGAACAAAGTTGTGAAGTTGGAAGTTGTGTTTTCTTCCTCGTTCTGCACCGAGGCCTACTGTGGCCGAGTGGGTAAGTCCCGAACTACGTACATGCCATTCACTGACTGTCACTGCCTGTGGTACCAGCTTGTGACTAAAAGGAAAATGTTAGGCTTGCCTGGAAAACCTCAGCAATTGTTTTTTCTCATAACAACGGCAAGATTTACAATCTTAACATACTTTGTATGTATATTTATCTATCTATATCTATATCTATATCCCCTTATATTTGCCTGTCCAATCCTACTGTTTATTAAAGAAGCACTATATCTATATCCCCTTATATTTGCCTTGACTTTGTGAACATGTTTAGAAAAACTAGCTAACATTTTAGTTGGTTTTCCAGTCCTGACTTAGGGAATATAAAACTTTTTATTTTTATGATGGCCGCCTCTGTAACTGTTTCCTGTCATGGTCATTTCAAAACGATATGATGACAATGACAACAGTGAGCATGAGATGAGGGTTGAACTGAAAGATGAATCCTATTCAATGCAAAAGCTGGACTGTCCAATCCTACTGCCTTGGTCTATGTTTTTGCAGCTTATCACACTAAACTGAGTCTGTTCTGAACATGTTATGAGAATAATAATAAAGTTCTGTTTGTACATTTTTCACGCTACAACTTAGCTCAGCAATACTTCATTATTTTTCAATTGAAACTGCGCTTTAAACCTGTTGTTTTGTTTTTGTTTATTTTTTCTTTCTAAATTCTGCCCCATACTTGTATTACATATGGCCAACTTTTAGTTAATTATTTACTGGCCAATAAAGTGTTTTGGGCTAACTGCTTGTAATGTAAAAAAAATAAAATTAAATAAAATTAAAGGGATTTATGTGTCATTTTGAATTAACTTAATAATAAAGGTAATACTAGTTGACTACAGCAATACTGAAGCTCTTGTTTGTTTTATTAACGTTGACAAAAGATAAACAATCTCTTTGACTAAGCTGTAAGCCCATGACTGTTGATATCTGTGATAAAAACTATGAACGCAACCAAGGATGCTACTAACTTTACAGGTTACTTAAATCCTGTAAAAACTTGAGATGGAATTAAACTGCTTGCTAAAGTGTGTAGCACTCCAAGTTTGTCTGCGTCCTAAGCGCACTGTGAGTATCCTGTCAGTCAGCAAGGCAGGAAACAGAAGCAGGCAGCGGGTGTCTGTGTGCCTCCATCGGGCCCACAGGGGTCAGGCCTGTCAGGTGGAGGTTAGCCAGGTGAGGCAGTTTCAGGAACAAAAGACGACTAACAACCTCCGCCTTCCTCATCCCGTCTGCCTTCCCTTCCCCTCAAAACAATTGAAACCAACAGGAACAGGAAGTGATGTATCCATGTGGTTGAGCTAAGCGGAGCAATTCCTTTGGCAGGAGGGCAGACGAAGAAAGAGAAGTTAGAAAATTGAGTTTTGGAAAATAAAAATCATAGAGAACACACATGGAAAGATGATAGCCCGCTTTCCTGAAGGTGTATTTGCGAGTGTACGTGTTTGTGTTTGCCTTAACTATTTATAGAGTTTTCCAGTAGTGCTATTGTGTTTTTGTAGTGAATAGAAGGCTCAGTTTTTTTAAACTTTCGCTTACCTTGTAGGACAATACTTAAGGGCAACATTGTGTTCTAGTTACTAGCAAACTTTTTTGCTCATTTAACAATTTTATAACAATGCTATAGATATATTTACACACCATTGCCTGCATGCACATACACATATTCGCACAAAGACAAGCATGTGGCGCTTGACTGTGATGCCTGATGAGCGATGCATGCTACCACAAGCCACAGAGGCTTTCTGCCTTTTAAGATGTCCCTGTCCAGAAAGGCGACACCTCGGCCCGCACTGCTGAGGATCCTCGTATCATTTCTTTCACCCCACACGCCGACTCTCGTCTGTCTGCGGCTGCTAATTTACGTCAAACCGTCTCTCTCAAACAAGCTCACAGGCCAGTATGTATGTTATTAATACCATTGTTAACTGCACACTCAAGGCTGCCCTCCCTGACTATGCTCATCATGTTACAGATATATTGTGCACAATCCTGTAGTACTTAATAAACATCTATATATACCAGAGGGTAAGTCCTGACCAGTAATGGTCAGATCAGTTCTTATTGTCGCCATACATCCAGCAACCAAGTGCTTTCCATTTGACTTGGTAGGAAGCTACCCTGAATTGGGTCCATCCCTGGGGGCAAAGGAGGCAGCAGAGATTGTAAACAGCAAAGAAGAGCCCATGATCTGGACAATAATCAGTGTTGGCATTCATCAGCTGTTACTTTATAGACATGAAATGCTCCGCTGCTACTTGTTAAAGCCTTTCATGTGTCACAGCCTTCCCTAGAGGTCAACAGTGGAATTGTTTTCTTTGTCGAAATACAAAAGTGAATCTTTAATGTTTTGTCCTCAATCAATATATTTATATCACATAAGTAGTCGCCCACGTTTCTGTTCATATTTTGTGTTTCAGGCTTATTTATAGTTGGTTTAAATTAAAACACAAAATGTTTTTATATAAATTTGGGAAGAAAGATACATGACATTCAACTGAAAACTGCGCAAAACTTTGAGAAGCTTGATCAACATCAACACATTTAAATTTAACTCAACATAAAAAACGTTTGCTTGATGTCTTGAAAAATATATATTGTCTCTGACACATTTTGTTATGTAGATTTGTTTTAAAAGGTTTGACTTACCACCTTAATTTATCTCAATGTGAAAGGTTCTCTTGAGCCACAATACAGAAGATACCCGATATGCTTTAATTAAACACATATACGGTAGGTATATAGATATTCAAGAGTGATTGTTAAACTGTCATATTTCTTAGCAAAGCTAGGGATTCTGAGATTACAGACAATATACAGTAACTAAAAATAATTTTAGTAAGCTGAAACATGATCTAAAATTACATTTAACATTTCTCACTGGAAACACATCATTGTATTCCTCTCCTGCTTTCCAAACCTGAACGCTTTTTACCTGATTGCGCAGTAAGTCCCTCCTACCTGTAGAGACGCTGTTTCTTTTGAATTTTCACAACAAACAATAGCGGCACCGGATGCGGAAGGAAGCCCGCCATTGAAGCAAATCTCCAACGCGTGTGTTTCGTTGGAAATTCTCTTCGATTAAACAGCGAGTATTTTCTTGTTCTGACCATCGTTGAATTTTGCTGAAGAAAAATGGCGTACAGAGGACAAGGGCAAAAAGTCCAGAAGGTTATGGTGCAGCCCATTGTATCCTTTTAATGGATTTTAAGAAGCGGGTGACTTGCTCCGCTAATTTAGCAGATAAACTAGCTTTTACGCGTTAACGAGCTGTATCCCACAATTTTACCACAAAAAGAGTTTTAGCTACCTTTTCTTTATTTGTATCGGTATATATTCATCACGCTGTTGTTACATTGTTTAGCCTTACCGTCGATTAGTATCGGTTCAGTTTTGTGTAACCTAGTGGGCAAGGGAAGAGCATCGTAACATGCTCAAAATGGTGACGGTGAAATTGAATGTTAATGTTACAAATTATGTCAGAATTCTTGAATATATTCGATATTTATACAGTCTTGCGTATTTATTTATTTATTTATCTTTTTAATTACCCGACTTCCGGATTTCTGCTCAAATGCAGAATCCCATTAACCGTGGTTATTGCTACTTGTTAGAAGTATGTGTATATGTTTTGTTAGGAATATGTCTATTATTCTGTATTTCCATGTCAATGATTACTTTTCTTAACTCCAAGTATCAGAACCTAATTTTTCGGTATCTACAAAATGTAAGTATTACGATGAACATTATTTGGTCCCTTTGTTATGTTGTGGAAATAACTGTTTAACCTTTCCATCCCCTTTGTTATGTTGTGGAAATAACTGTATTTGTATACACTGTATAACTGTATTGAATTTACAGCGCTCACGTATTCAGGTGTGGCTGTACGAACAAGTGAACATGCGGATAGAGGGCTGTATTATTGTAAGTGAACTTTTCTTTTCTCACAACCTTTATTTTCTGGGGGTTTTTGTGGATGCTTTTCGATAAAACTTAATGTTTCTGCCTTATTTCAATTGTAACATTGAAATGTTACATTCTCCACATTTAGGGCTTTGATGAATACATGAACCTGGTTCTAGATGATGCTGAGGAGGTCCACATGAAGACTAAGAACAGGAAGCCACTGGGTAAGAGCATTCTCTTTTTTGACAAATTTTAAGAACTGTGAATAAAGCAGCTATTGATAACTTGATAGTCTGTAACTTAGAATGACTCATCCACCGACCAATACAATTATTTCTCCGTTTTCCAAATTTGTATTTTTTCTGTTCCACTCAACTTGATTCTTTGTTTGTCCTCAGGGAGACTCATGCTGAAAGGAGACAACATTACTTTACTGCAAAGTGTGTCCAGTTAAGACAACACACCTCTGGTCATTGTTGTTTCTCTTTTTTTGAAAATTGTTGAGTACATTTGTTTTAGTTTCACAATTCTGAGACATTTTCTTTCTACTGAATGAATATGTTTGGAGAATAAAATTTTGTTTTTCTTACGTGCATTGTTCATGTTTGACATGTTTTCACTTTTGCTAAGTTGGTAAATGGAATTGCACTGCTCTCAAGTGGACGACAACAGTACTACTTCTAAGGCAGCTTAAACTCTAAACTCTGATGAGACTATACTGTGAAAACATATACTGTATTTCTGTAAAGCTTAAAGCTTCTTAAAACTTAGACCCTACAGCTGGCAGCAATGCAAATTGATAAATCGTTTGCAAAAGCAGTGAGGTGGGATTATTTTGATATAGTTTTTTTCAAAGATGCTCCAGGGGAAGCAGACGTTTTTTAAAGTTGCAAGAGTAGGTTTTTTATATTTACAATTTCTGAGACAACGAAGTAGGTGAGTTGTTTTTTCCAGCATATTCTGTCAAACGGGTGTAGGCATTAATAACTGTGTTATATATTTAAATTCCCTCTGTTGTATCAGGTAATCACGAATAAATTACCAACAATTTTAATTCGATTTTGTTGAAAATCAAAACTGTTGGTAAATTATATAAAAAATGACCCTTTAGCTGATCGAAGGTTGCAAACATGTGGCCTATGTCATTAAATCTTTATTGCACTCTCTGCAGGGAAGTAGGAGACTAATTTGTATGAAGTATCATAAACGTAACTTTTTAATAAATTCGTTGCTTGTAAGGATATTTTAAAGAAGTTAAGTTAAGCAACTGCCTTAAAAAGTAAATGCAGATGTGAACTTGGTAGAAATGTAATACCATCATTTGTAGTTAAACAGCGAGACGTAATTACGTAGCACCAACTACCCCAGCGTAGTTACGTGTCCCTGTTCTGTTGACTGGGAAGCCCCTAGCGCGGAGCTGCCAACGCCCGGCATTAACACACAAATACAGAATACGGTAAGAGGACATTTTTATTTATTTTCACCATATCAGTGTTAGGTTACTTGAGCTTAGGTTTAAATATAACTGAAACTCATTATGGTCTGTAGTTATTGTTAATTATATTGGTGTCATTCATCTTTTCTAAAACAATTTGGCAACAGCATCCGCCAAGGTTAGCCTAGCCCTTTAGCTGGAAAGCCGACAATTTATGACGACAGGAGTGGCAATTAATGCATTTTCCAGGCTTAAATATTCTTTATAACATTATATCAACAAAGTCTTTATATTTTTGTGATTGCTACATTAAGTTGGCAGTTAAAGTGCCAGAATTGTGTGGAGTGAAGTAAGAATTTAGTGAAAAATACAGTTAGCCATTGGTTAGCGTTGTCCTCGATAAGATTCAAGTATTTTTTTCCTTTGATGTTAACAAGTATCACGATCACGAGGCGCAAATAAACGTATTCATTGTACGGACTAACAAAACATAAAAAAACCCAAAACAAAACTAGATAGTAGGTCTGGTCGCCCCTAAATGCGCTGGCAGGAAATTAGGCCAGATTGAGGCCAGAAATATAACCGAAATGCAGCAGCTAAAGCCCAGGACAGTTTAAATTCTTGACAGTTATTATAATCAGCTACCAACTTCAAATGTGTTAAAAACGTATACAATATGATATTACATTGAAGAACATTAAAACTTTGCAATGATGTTCTTTGTGTGTAATATGTGTACCTGCACACATTATTTTGTGTAGACCCTAGATAAAAAAGGGTTCTAGCTAGCTAGTTATGGATCCTTGTAAATTTGAAGTCATGAATACTGGTAGAAAGACGTGCTCAGACTAAAGGTGTCCCACAAAGTATAATAAAGTAAGGCTATCAACATTTAGGTGTCCTTTGTCTTCTTATGAGATGTAACTGCTAAGATACAGATATCTGATTATTTCATTGATTGCTGTCAGATTATCATATGTTAGTGTTTAAATTAGTTTACATCTTAATTAATGTTGAATGTAAAAGGCCCTCTAATCTCCTTGCACTCCTGACATAAGTCTGTTCTGCAGGTCAGGCACTAACATCTGAGCTGAAACTCCTAATCAAGTTAACACAGCATGTATTCACCAGTGACATCTTTTTACTGTTAAACCTATGTTGCATATTGCATGTCTACTAGTTTCAACACAATACATTTAGCAAGCCATTTAAAAGCGTTATGTTTCAAATAAGCTGTACTGAGTAAATATGAAGCATCTCTAGCCACAGCAGTGGCAGCAGGTCCATGAGGAATAAACATAAATGAAAAACAAGAATGTTTTTGATTATATAACAACAGGTTCACTTCATTTCTGTACATAAAGCAGTCATACTCAGTCCCATATTACATGATGCATTCACATTAACATTATACTATGTTAAATCAATTGGTTTGCCCCACGTGGTCAGATCATTGTCATTGGTAAATGAATTACTGTCTACTCCAAAATTGTTTAATTTTTTTTTTATTTTGTGTACTTGCTCACACAGTATACTTATAATGGCACTTCTTTGTGTTGGGTCCTAGTTAATTTGCAATGAACTAGTGAACAGTGGCATAGCGCTGAGAAAATGTGGTGACATACAGATTGTAGGTGTTTTATTTCTTCACCTCATCTTTCTACTGAACTGTTAAATTGAAAAGAGATGTTAGCATACACAGGTGTTTTATTAAAGTGCCATTATTGTAACAGATGTCATATCAAGTAAGCCTCGCTCCATCCTTGTCCCTGATGGTACAATGCCTTCAAACTGCTGACATTGTTGAATTACCTATTTATTTTACTCAACATCAGTGACATGATTAACTCCAGTAGAATAATGACAAATGCGTAGCATGTGTAGCGACAATGTTATTGTCTGCAACCATTCCATGTCCTTCAAACAATGTTATTGTCTGCAACCATTCCATTATGTCCTTCATTGTAATTCTATTTATTTTTCATGTTTCAGATTGTGAATGAATAGAGAAAACTAAATCACAACTATGCAGACCATCAAGTGTGTTGTAGTTGGTGACGGTGCCGTGGGTAAAACCTGCTTGCTCATCTCTTATACAACAAACAAGTTTCCTTCTGAATATGTACCTACGGTAAGCGTGCGATTGCATAGTTATCTATGTGGAATAAATCACACATTTTATCAAAAAAAATTATTGTTTTTTAAAAATCATATTTCAAGGGCATTTTCTCTAAATTGTAACTATGTTTTAGCTCACCTTAACTCTTAGCTTAATTTTTTTTTTTTTTTGAAGAAATGTCCACCCCATTGCACTGACAAAATGATCCACCTTTTTTATACAAGTTGCTTGAATTGTGATTCTTTAAAATACACAAGAATATATTGGTCATAAAACCAAAGTAAATTATTCAGGTTCACCATCAATACAAGTATAAAAGGAAAGAAAATGTATCAAATCATGAAATTGATAGTTAGAATATAAGTATCCAAACATCTTACATTGATGTGCAAGAATATATTATTTTCTCTGTTGCAGGTCTTTGATAACTATGCTGTGACTGTAATGATTGGAGGTGAACCCTATACTCTGGGCCTTTTTGACACAGCAGGTATGTCTTTTTAATCCAGCCACTGTTTTTCTTATATATGCTTTACAATTTTATTTTTAAAGGTTTCCACAGGTTTGCTTTTCATTACCTTAAAAATAAAAGGTTAAACCAATACACTGGCGGTCCATGTTTTTTTGTGTATAAAATACAATACATGTTTAAAATCAAATAAAAAAGTACATGGAATAATTATGGTGATATGTCAGTGTAATATGGGTTAAATGTGTTCTTTTTATAGGTCAGGAAGACTACGACAGGTTACGACCTCTGAGTTATCCACAGACAGATGTCTTTCTTGTCTGTTTCTCTGTTGTGTCCCCTTCTTCTTTTGAAAACGTTGAAGAAAAGGCAAGTTTAACCATTTTTCTTTTTTTTCTATTTAATAATGACTCTTGAGTACTAATGTATTCTTTACTTATTCATTTTTTTATTATTTGACTTTAGATACATTTTTATTTAAAAAAAATAAACATTGCCGATTGCATTTGTCATTTTAATTTCTAACTGTTTCATGTAAGCAGTGTAACAATTCTACCTTCAAACTGATTTCTTTGCAGATTCTACAAAAGACATACCTCATAAATTAATTATCCAATTGATTACCAACTTTGTTTGTGTGCAGCTATATAGAACGATAGACAGCTATGACATGGAAAGTTGATTTTCTGTTCTTAAAAAAATAGAAATGTCAAGAAATTAATCATATGTACAAATGCTCTGAGGTAGAAGACAAGAGCAGTGGCGTATTCTACACTATATATGATCAAAACAGTAGAAAGGTCATTTTATTTTATTTCGGGTGGCCCTGAGTCTTGTTCATTGCGTAGTTTAAATGATTGACACAAAATCAAAAAAGGCTCTAAGTGTCCCTTGTCTCTGGGTTTGCATTTCCAGTGGGTTCCAGAGATTACTCATCACTGTCCAAAGACCCCATTCCTTCTAGTTGGGACTCAGATTGACCTGCGGGACGACCCATCAACTATAGAAAAGCTGGCCAAAAACAAGCAGAAGCCCATCACACCAGAAACAGCTGAAAAGCTGGCCAGAGACCTCAAGGCTGTAAAATATGTGGAATGCTCAGCTCTCACACAGGTAATCTAATTTCCATTTGGTATACATCCCTGACCAAAAGTCACATGTACACATATTTGATTACATTTCCACATAAACAAACGACAGTAAAGATAATACTTTGCAAATGTACTCTTGCCTGTTAATGGGATTATGGGTTTGTTTCTTGCTCTGCCTTTTCAACGAGGTATTTAAAAAAAGAAGTTTTTAATGTTCTTTGGAGGTTGAAAGTGCAACACAATTCTACAGTTAATGGACACATGCAGCTTTGGGTTTTTATTATTTTTTTATTTATTTCCCATCTCTGTTCCACACAAGTAAGTCATGCATTATTAAGGGCTGGCTTTGAAACTCTGGATTTAGTGAGGATGTGAAAAATGATTTAATTAATTAATCCTCATTATAAGGTTGTTCCTCACTTTGTAGTCCATGTCATGCTTGTAGCTCAGTGAACAAAAGACATGAAAGAGCAGCCTTCACACCAGCAATGCTAGGCTGTAAGGGTTACGGCTTAGCATAGCTAAGCTTTGCCTCTCTGCTATCTGAATACTGTGCTGGTGACCTAAATAGTAAATGAGTTTCCTGCCATGGAATTGATGTTCTACAGATTATTAAGGGAAGTTGGACTACTTTTTTTGGATGTTGGCTATTTAAGTTTTCTTTTTCTTTCCAACATGTGCACTGTTTATAGTGAAAATAATAATGGTACCGTTTAGGTAGGTTGGAGGAAACCTAAAATCAACCATTTATTTATAAGTCTTGCTGTTTTAAATTGTGTGTTCCTAAACCCAACTTAAAACCTCTAATATCTACCATAGTTCTGATTAGGTAGAACCCAGAAGAATGTTTAGAGAAATTTAAGCAAAAAAGTATACCATTGCAGGACTTTCTAATATTCAGTTCATAACATACGGCAAAAGTCATTCATACTTTTTTTTTGTTTCTTTTTATACCATAGTTTCTAAAAGTCCTAGGCACCTCACTGTATAAGTCAATTCAGACATTTCGTTTTTGATTATTTTAAAGATGGCTATTAGCCTTGGGTTTTATGTTGTTCAGTCTGAATATTTGTGTTCTTAAATGCAGTTATGGCAAAGTATAACAAGAAGAACATAAATACACGAGGTGGATCATGGGGAACAATAGAGTTGACGTAACTAAAATGTAACTCAATCCCCTTCTTCCTTCCTCCCTCACTACCACCCCCTTCTTCCTGTCTGTGCTACAGCTTAGTTACTGATGTAAATTCCTGTTTACTGTCGATGGTCTTTGCATCAGATCCACACCTTACAGTCAGATCATAATGTGCTACCTCTAAACTTTGGGTACACACTTGTTCTTCATGTTCATCTGTTACTTGTGGATCTATTTATTTTTTCATGAGGAACTGTGAACCTTTTACATCACTGATCATTGCCGCTCTAAAGTTGCCTGAGACTCACTGAAATAAAGCTTTAAAATACTTTTAGCTTGGTAGTAATTTCTACTAATGTGAAGTTTTAATGCATTGATATAACCCCACTTTAACTCCAACTTAATCAAAATGAGGTAGCTGTTTTCAAATGTAGTTAAAGTTATTGAGTCAAAAGCATTTAGCCATTGGAATTGTGCTTTTGTGCATTTGTTCTTCTAATGTGCGATGCCACCTCACTGAGTCGCTGTTCTTTTGCATTTGTGTTCACAGAAAGGCCTAAAGAATGTTTTTGATGAGGCGATACTGGCTGCACTGGAACCTCCAGAGCCCAAGAAGAAACGCAAATGTGTGCTGCTATGAGAGGCTTCTCCCCTGTAGATCCAACACATACATACAAACATACACACACAAGCACACATGAAACAACAGAATACTCAAATGCATACAAACATAAACACACACATGCACATAAACATTATTTCCAACCCCACCCTCTTTCTCCTGCTCTGCTAAGGCTGGTTGACAGTCTTCCAGACTGAAGACAAGAACGATGACTGCCAACAAAGTATCCTAAAATTCTCTGCAATAATAAGACGCTTCTCCCTAATGTTCAAGTGTGAGACAGCAGATGAACATAACCTAGGCAACAGGCCACTGTGGGATGTGGGCAGGGTGGAATCACCAGGGCCAGAGATCCAGACAAAAACACTTGGCACTGTTGATGAGTCACTAGATTCAACCGTTCAGTCAGTGTTGTGGTCTAATTAACGTTCAGAACCTCCGACATTTGACTCTTTACTAACTCTGTACTCACACATAACCAAGGCTTAAAAGTTTGATGGTTTGAAGCTGCTGTTGGCAGAGAATTAGCCAGCATAGAGAGCAGTTTCTAATATTGTTGAAACAATTACAACACAGTGGTGTTTGGTGTAAGTTTGTGATGACGGTCACAGAGATCGCTTTCTGTCAGTTTATTGATCAAATGAACTTTGAAATTGACCTGATTTGCAGCTGCTGTGTTATTGTTTCCAGAACTCACACAGCTGATTGGGAAATTGAACCCTTTTCAAGTTTTGCCACATATAGAGCAAGCTAATAGAAATGACTGAAGTGCATTGTGATTTAGCGACATGAAATTCTGAACCATTTGATTTGATGAAGCCTCTTTAACAAGCCCACAATACGTGTGAGAGCAGTGTGAAGAGTTCATGGAGGTCAGCTCCACCCACGCCCCCACAGCCAAATGACACTGTTGGCCCCTTCTTCCTTGATGACAGCATTCATCAAATAAATTGCTAACAGCTCAGTTTTATTTGCCAACAAACAACCCCAAGATATTTATTCCATGTTCCAGAAAAACTTACTCCTTAACCACTAAAGAAACTTTGCTCTAATAGGACAGCAGTATCCAGGGCAGTCCACATGAGTGTCCTTCATGAGTAATATGGAAATGATAATGTTGCCATGTTCTATCCAGTCCTATGTATGCAAACTCACAGTCCCATTGGATTGTGGTCAATCACTTGAAGAGCTAAAGGCATAGTAGCGGGTCCACCTGGAGACCAAGGAACTGGTGTTTGAGATGCACCAGACTGAAACAGTGTTAGCAGAACAAGCGGAGGCCAAGGCAGGAAGAGAGTCTGATTCTATACTCCGTCATGCAACACTTTCAAAAGTTATAAACTTTTAAGAGGGAGTTCTTCAGAAGGAATAGTGAGAAAGCCACTATAAACGACCACAGTAGAAATGTTCTTCCCAGGTTTTAAAAACGAATTGAGCAATCAAATCTTTTCTTCATTAATCTATATTTACCTGTGACTTCAGTTATAGCAAGAGTTCTATATTCCTGAAGGGTTTTGGATTTTAATTGTTTCAGCTCTCTAAATGTGCAGAGTATGACCTATTGATAATTACCAATGTTATCTGTCTGTCATTCTGCAATTTAAAAAAACTAGCATGACAGTTGAACTTGGCAGCAGATTGTTCTGTAGCTGTAAGTATTTCTATTAACTCCAATCTATTTCACTGTTTGTAGGAAGTAGGATTGGTGAGCTCTACCTCTACATAAACATTTCACTTTTACCTGTTGAATTAAAACACATACAAAGGAAAAACCAACCTATTAGGAGGGTGAGATCTTAGAGAGCTGACTGAAGGTGTGCAGGTACATGCCACTCTGAAGCACTCAGACTTTTGTTAAGTTACAGTTACAGAGAAGTTGCTTGACGGGGTATAAACCAGGCTTCAGACTTGATCACATCACACTTCATTTGCTAGAAGGGAGCGCGTGTGTGTGTGTGTGAAACAGTTTGTGGACTAATGTTTAGCATTTTTACAAGGGAGGAAAGAGTATGAATTTCTAACAGAACTCTGTAGTGGGCCAAAGTCTGGCGATGAGTGTGTGGAGGCCTGTCTGGTCTTTGTTTTAGTCATTGAAAATGTGGCCGACCTTAGTCGCTGTTCTTAACTATAGGTTTTATCAGATGTAATTATGATGTTAGCAGGCATGCCACATTAATGTACGCTCCAGATGTTTTTACCAAAACCTTTTTATTATTTCTGCCCCTTCTGTTTGTCTTATTTTATATCTTATTATATATAAATATGTGTTTTTCTTTCTTCTTGGCTTGTCCCTTCATTGGGGGCTGCCACAGCGTTAGACCACACAATGATTTGACAGAGTTTCTTTAACAGATATTGAAGCAACCCTGCCTATATATACATATATAAGGTTTCCTTTTCCACCTTTTGAGTTAGGTCGTTCAGAATTCACCTGAACTTTTACCTGCCAGTTTTTACCAAGAAAACCTTTGATTGGGCTTCCTGAATAAAAACCTTCAATGGCAGAGAGACTGTTTTTGTTTTTTTTAACTAGTGGTATGGAGTCATGTTGATGACCTGCCAAGGTCAAGATACTTATTATAACCTTGTTTTGTGTAAAACCAAATGCTCTGTCTGAAGTCTTTCTTCTTTGTATATGCATTCTTTTTTTCTTTTCTTTTTTTGGAAAAATATTAAACTTAAACCTTAATTGCCTTTACCTTTTTTCCTTTGCCCTTCTTTTTATTTGTATAATGACTGTTGGACTAATGACTGACCTTTATGTAATAAGTGAGCTGATTGGCTGATCAGTTCCGGTTATCGCTGCAGCATTGCTAAAACCACTTGATCAATGTGAATACAGTACTGGTAAAATCCAGGACAAACCTCACATCCTAACAGTCACACAAATGTTCCACTAAAGCTAAGGCTGTAAAGAGCGTTGTGCCATAGAGGTCATGTGTACAGAATGTATAGTCAGCAGTTCTAGAGTGACCATGTCCGCTGTGTGTTAACATGAGAAGCTTAACAGCCAAGTGTGATTTTCTTTGTAAAAAAAATGTAAATAAAAAGCAGCAGCAGCTTTTTAACTGATTCAGACTGTGGGCTGTTTATTTTTGACAATTTTGGCCAACAGGGAAGGACAATAGACTGAGATGATATAGAACACCATCACTGAGGACAGTATTACTTACCCACTGCAGTTCACTGGAGTTCATCAAAGATCATGTTTAAACTTTGGTCTGTGTGTGTACAGATAGTGGAGAACCAAGTGTCATCTAAAACAGAAAAAAAGAAAGAAAAATTCCCTGAATTCTTACCCATGTAATTAATATTTGTTCACATAACTGGGAAAAGTCGAACAGAAAACGTACAGAAATCAGAATCCTTCTGATCACCTGAAATCCCTTTAACCAGCATCCAACTTTTCTTCTTGGTAAACACTGGTCCATAGAAATCCAAGACACACGGGTCAGATCAGTCAGTCAATGTGCAGATTAAAGTGAACAGATTTATCAATGTGAAGTACAAACCTGAAGACATGGTGTGGCTAAAGGGTCTCACGCATGTGCAAATTACTAAATGTGCATTTATATTATAAAATATAAATTGATGAATGTGTTTATTCCTGTCAGTAATGTCAAAACAATTCATCTGTCCAGTCCCAGCCTCCTGCGATATCTGCGGCTTCTCCAGATTTTTGTCATAACCTCTTCAGCCAGCAGAGGGTGCCGTTGACTCGAACACGAGTTAAACATTAACCCACACATATTGCTCTTGATTCTTTCGGTTGGACACCAATAATGTTGTTAGCATTTTTTGTACTTAGTAACATACACACTATCCAACGTTGTAACACTGGCTAATAATATTGTATTAATAAAATAAAATGTATATATATAATTTATAATTTTCTATCAGCTGCAAAACAAATATTTAAGTCTGCGCAGTCTGAAGGGTTGTGAAGGAATGGAGGACGCAGGACCATGAGCTGGAATTAACCAAGACGGGGACTGTTTTGGTCCGCTACCCTTGCTCGTGTCCAGCTCTGTGGTTTTTTATTTCTACTGCTATTGAAGGACCAGGACACCTAGAGAAAGTAGGTTTGGTGCCCAAATGTTTACTGTTGTTTTCAGAGGTTGACCTTACATCATATAGGAGCAAGCCTAGGAAAATAATAAGGAGAATTTAGGTACAGAAATGCATCACAGCTTCGTTTAAAAAACATTTGATTAAACATGATGAGCAATATGGTTGTTATTTTTATTATTTCTTCTAAATGTTCAAACTTTGAGCAATCATTAACGGCTTTTACGTAGAGAACCAGCATCTGGGCAGACGTTGACGTCACTTTGCTGAATCAGGTAGACGCGTCATCAGAGAACTGCAATTTGCGCACATGGTTTTCAGGTGAGTCTGTTAAGTCGAAGGGACGACACCCACACACACAGCCACCCACTCACACACACACACACACACACACACACACATACCAAACAATTGTTTTCCAACAAGTTCGGACAGACCCACAGATTGCCGACGGCGGTGTGAACGCACCGACTCAGCAACGGCTGAACTGTTTCATCATCGAGGTCGTCGTCCTCGTCGTGTGTGTGTGTGCGTGCTTGCGCGGGCGTGTGTGTTTTGTGCGTGTGTGCGGATGTGCCTTGGCGTTTTGCTCCACCTCTAGATCTCCGAGTTCAGTTCGGTTTCTTTTTTAGAGGAAGCGGACTTCGCCCACAGCAGAAACAGAGACGTAGAACAACGAGAGAAGTGACCATGGCTGAGAACAAGATGGGTCAGAACCTGCAGGCTGGAGCCGAATTCTTCGCCAAACGATTTCAGAAGTCTCTGAACCGAGCCCAGGAGAAGGTGAGCTGATGGGAGGACCTCCATGTTCATGTCATGTTTTCTTGTCATCTGCCCCATCAGCCGCGATGACACTGTTTTTAAACGCATTTCTGCATGATCTTTATCTGGTCCTGGCGAAGAGCTAAACCAAACTCACCCTTTCACTTGTTGTGTAACAGGAACTGTGTAGTGTAGTTTGTAACAGCGGAGTCTCACAGGGAGGTGACTAATGTGATAACACTGTTTAAATGAGGAGCAGCTGACAGACAACGGAGTTGTGAATCCCGTGTTCCTTTACTCCACAGCTGTCATCACTTCTGAACAGGCTCTGTTTAAGGTGCTATGACTTTTTGAATGCCAAATTAAAAAAGCTCACTCCTTCTTCTAATATTTATGGCTGTCACATTAAAAAAAAGTCTGAAAGACTGATGCTCGAGGCAGATACTTGAGCGTTCCTGTCAGAACACCACCGAATGTTATTTGGTTGAAACACATCAGTAGCCACTTCCTGAGTGTTCATTTCCTCTCTGTCGCTCTCTCACATGTGGTGTTTGATTTTGTTTTCTTGTTTAACAGTTCCTTCACTGACAGAGTGTTTGTTGATAGTTTTTTTTTTTTACAAGATGAGTTTTTAATAAAATGCATTTTTTTTGTTACTACATTTGGGGGAAAAAAATGGGAGCGTATACACTGATTTGTGAGTGAAGTACTTCAATGTAGACTAGCCATAGGTCACTTCTTTAAAAACAAATGCAACGCACACAACTGAGCCTCACGTCTATGAGTACTGCTGGCACAAACTGTACACACACATTAAGTAGTACGCATTGAATACAAGATGTACAGTTCACTAGATTTAGTTGAGAAAGTATGTAGGAAGCACAGTAAGTTACGTCTGTCTCAGTGTGTTTGTCTGCTAACACTTGTTCTTTCATTTGATCTCTCTCAGGTGCTTCAGAAACTGGGCAAAAGCATAGAGACCAAGGACGAACAGTTTGAACTGTGTTTCCAAAACCTCAACAAGCAACAGGTACTGCAGTAACTATTGATTTACAGTACAAGAAACTTACTGTTCATGACAGAGATGGCAGAATAACCACTAAAGTTGTTTCAGCCACTGTCTACATAAGTCATGCCCTTTTGTGGTCCATTGTGTAGCGGCTAGCGCACCTGCCTTGTAAGGAGAGTGCTGGGTTCAATTCTCAGGGGAACCACATAACCCTCATGACCACCACCCCCCCCAACCCATTTTGCATCAATGACCTTTACAGTTTTTAACACTAACGGAACTCTCCTGCGTAGAGGTAGGATTATTTCTTATGTTTCTGCATCTGTTTTTCGGAGTGGACGATCACTCTTTTGGTTGACCCTGTGTGTGACCTCAAAGGTTGAAGTTACCAATTACATCAAACCACGTTGTAATGATAGACTACAGGGCAAATGGCTGAACTACTCAATGGCCACAGATGAAGCCAGCTGCCCCAAGTTCGTCACTGCGACAGGTCTTCAAAACCGTTTCGCACAACGTGTTTTCTAAAGAGCTTCACAATAAGAACGTGAAACGTGTCAGTGCCGAGTTCGGTCAGCCAGTTAGTCATCAAATTGCTGTAATGACCAAACCTCGCACAACTGAGCTGAATAATCATCAAATTTGGTCTAAATGGAAGGGTTGCAGCCAAAACACATGTTGTTTGCAACAGAAAATGACAGTATTTTGAAACAGACTGGTGGTGACAACATTAACGGTGCTGTCTCTCCATGTTTCCATGCCCCCCAGCTTGTTCTTTTTTCCTATGGTAGTTGAAATTAGGTTTTGTAGATTGACTTCCAATTTTGACAAATCAGCCTTTAACACCTTGTTCCAGTCTTGACCAATCATGTGGCGTTGTTTCGTGGCCCGGACGAGCTTCATTTTTATCTTTTTAACATATCTTTCAACTCTTGCAGACACTTGACTTGTCAAACCTGCAGCTCCACATCTCTTCTGATTCTGTTGGGGCTTTATTCTGCCTGACCTCATCCTGTCAGTGTCTTGATGCTGATTGGAAACTCTGCTCACTGACACTTTGACTGTTTTTTACATTCTCCTGGAGTTGAGCCGTTTGTGTGACAGCACACCCCCCCCCCCCCCCCCCAGCCCGTGGCAGTCCATGTCAATTGCAAAGATTCACACTGTAAATTTTCCCATTATTGGGACAAATCAAATTCAGTCAAATTCATTTTTTTTTATTTAGCCCAAAATTTACAAAATCCATTTTGCATCAATGACCTTTACAGTTTTTAACACTAACGGAACTCTCCTGCGTAGAGGTAGGATTATTTCTTATGTTTCTGCATCTGTTTTTCGGAGTGGACGATCACTCTTTTGGTTGACCCTGTGTGTGACCTCAAAGGTTGAAGTTACCAATTACATCAAACCACGTTGTAATGATAGACTACAGGGCAAATGGCTGAACTACTCAATGGCCACAGATGAAGCCAGCTGCCCCAAGTTCGTCACTGCGACAGGTCTTCAAAACCGTTTCGCACAACGTGTTTTCTAAAGAGCTTCACAATAAGAACGTGAAACGTGTCAGTGCCGAGTTCGGTCAGCCAGTTAGTCATCAAATTGCTGTAATGACCAAACCTCGCACAACTGAGCTGAATAATCATCAAATTTGGTCTAAATGGAAGGGTTGCAGCCAAAACACATGTTGTTTGCAACAGAAAATGACAGTATTTTGAAACAGACTGGTGGTGACAACATTAACGGTGCTGTCTCTCCATGTTTCCATGCCCCCCAGCTTGTTCTTTTTTCCTATGGTAGTTGAAATTAGGTTTTGTAGATTGACTTCCAATTTTGACAAATCAGCCTTTAACACCTTGTTCCAGTCTTGACCAATCATGTGGCGTTGTTTCGTGGCCCGGACGAGCTTCATTTTTATCTTTTTAACATATCTTTCAACTCTTGCAGACACTTGACTTGTCAAACCTGCAGCTCCACATCTCTTCTGATTCTGTTGGGGCTTTATTCTGCCTGACCTCATCCTGTCAGTGTCTTGATGCTGATTGGAAACTCTGCTCACTGACACTTTGACTGTTTTTTACATTCTCCTGGAGTTGAGCCGTTTGTGTGACAGCACACTCCATTCTGCAGGACAGTACTGTCCAAATAATGCTCATTAGGGTGTGGGCCCACACTTTTATGTGGATAAAAGTGTGGGGGGTTGTAGATAATCAAGTCCAGTTGGGACAGCTGTTAAAATGAAAGCTTAATGCTTCATCAGCCTCCACAACAAACTTTAGGAGGATACATTATCAATGATGTACCGTATATTGAATAAGCTGAGGAGTTGTGATTACTTTAGTTTTTTTCGAGGCTTATCCAGTTTGTCATATTTAGCAAAGAACGATATAGCACTTGATTAACGCAAGGAGGAACAGAGAGGAAGTGTACATGCTGAGACGATGCAACTTTCACTTCACACTGCTGCCACATGACATGTTTTGTAATTCAATTTAAATTTCACGCTGACTGGTTTTCTTTGCGTTGTGAGTTAAAAATAAGTATACTGACATTTAAAGTTTTTTTTACAGACAGATGGCAGCAGGTTGTTCAAAGATGTAAAGGCGTACCACGCAGCGGTGAAAGGTAAGGTCTGGCAACATGTGTAGGTGTCTATTCTAGTCAGCTGTCAGCTGTTAAAATGTGTGTTCCCAACCTTGTTGGGGCCCAGCACATATATAACATTAGAAGAATCCCATGGTGACCACCGAACAAAAATGTCACAGTTTATTTAATAAAATTAAATGATGCTCTTGAACAGGGATTCTTTACTGCTGTTGTTTTAATGTAAATATATCTACTTTTATTAATGGCATATTTGTATTTATTATAGTAATTTTTTGCAGAAATCAAAGAAAGACAGAGGGACAAAAACCTCAAGATAAATTGCAAATGTCAATCAGAATATTATAACAAAAAAAAGTTACATTTTGCAGAGAATACTACAGCAAATAAAAATATAAAAGTTAGTAAATTAAAATTATCAATAGACAAAAATATCACAAGTAATATAAATACAAGTCATGTTTCTGGAATGTCCATCAGGTCAGATGATGGACCTGCCTTTTCATATGTGGAATGGCAACTGTGTTTCTATTGTCAGCTTACGCTCAGGAAACCAGTGTTGTTCTGGCCTTTTGGTGTGGGCGTTACCAGACCGACAGAACCTAAAGACAATACCCTCCACAGAACTGTGATCCTGTTGCTGATGCTGTAGGATTATGTCATGGGGGTGTTTTTGGTTGTTGCAACATCTTTTTTTTTTTTTTTTTAATGCTTACAGCTGTGCATGAGACATCCAGGCGACTGTCCCAGACCCTGCGAGAGACATACGAAACGGACTGGAGCGGAGTGGAAGACCTCGCCGTCATAACGGAGGTGTGTTACTATGCACGCTGTGCTGCAGGATGAGTTGTGTGGTTTGTGTAGGTTGTGTATAATCTGAATGTAAACAGTAATAACTTCCATCTGTGTCCCGCAGAGCGAAGACTTGCTGTGGAATGACTTTGAGGAGAAAGTGAACGACCAGATCATCAGAACGATGGAGAATTACACCAGCCAGTTTCCTGAGGTCAAGGTAACTCAACACCTTTATACCTCTGAGTACTCTGTTGTAGTACTCAGTACTCTGCCTACTACAAGTGATGTTAAAAATGAACTGAAAGAAACGTGTACTAGCCTGGATGGCTGATCATGGCCCTTCACAATCATCTACTGTTTTTCAGGAGCGAGTTGCTAAACGTGGTCGCAAGTTGGTGGACTACGACTCGGCGCGTCACCACCTGGAGACACTGCAGAGTACCAAGAAAAAGGATGAAGCTAAAGTAGCCAAGGTGCCTTTGGTTTGATACCACTGTGTGTGTGTCTGTGTGTGTGTGTGTGTGTTTGTGATTATAACACAGTGTCAAACTTTTCATACCAGGCAGAAGAAGAGTTCAACAAGGCCCAGAGTGTGTTTGAAGAAATCAACAATGAGCTGAGAGAGGAGCTGCCTGTTCTCTATCAGAGGTAAGAGGACCGGCCAGCTAGAGTTAAGGTCATGACCTTGAAGCTGGGTGATTTATCATCAGGTTACGTGTTTGGTTTGAAAACATCAAAACCTTTGGGGGAAAAAAAACCCCAGAAACGACAGTGAAGGGAAATTTAATTTGAAACTTTATCCTGGAGACTCTACTGTTTAAAGGTGGATTCCTCGTCTCCTACTATAATTTTCCCGGGACTTGGCAGGACTGTGGTCGACAAAACAGACTCCACTCTGCTGACCTCTGATAGCCACTCAGAATAAAAAACATTAACAAGCCAGATAAAAGATAATTGTTTAACGGAGATCATTCAGACAGCTAACCTGTGGTACTACTGCTACTAATCTGGTACTACTCAGGCAGAAGCAGAAGGATGTTGATTTTTGGAAAACAAGAAGTGAGCCATAAGTCAGCGTCTGGAACTTTGTGTCCTTCTGCTGGAGCTAAATCAAAGATGGAAACGTTTGGCCAACAACCAGCGGCGTCTCTCCTGCACACACATTCTACTATGGACACAAATACAAACAGACACACAGCAGTAAATTAAAATGATAAAAACGGGCAACATGGCTGGGTGGGTGCATTCTTAGAGCATCGCTGAGCAGAGACGGGAATGAATGAGCAACACCGTTGGTATGGAGAAGCAGCACTTTTCACTTCTTTACTCCACTCACTGTTTTCCTGCTGCTGCTAGTTTTACGATCTGTGTCTGTGTTCAGTCCCAACTGGGCACGTTCTCTGTGAAACAGCCAATCAAAACAGTAGATGAGCCGATTGTCCTTGTCTCTGAAGCCGTATAGGTTGCTACGTGACCGTGTTTCAAAACATCTCCAACCTGCGGGACGTCTTCTATAAGGAAATGAGTGTGGTAAGAGCACCTCGCTGTCATCTCTCTTAACTGTTTAATCAAGTGTGGCTATGACTCAGCCCTGCAGCCTGAAGCCTCATCACCGCATCTGTCTTCTGGTCTGCAGCTCAACAGAGAGCTGTACAACGTGATGAAGAAGCTGGAGACTCAGCACTCAGGGAAAGCTTTTATAATCAAAGGTCTGAACAGGTGAGATATGACACTGCTGTCTGTCTGTGGTGGAGGTCTGTACTGTCTCTCTTATTAACATCGAGGTTTTTACACCATCCACTTTTATGCCTATAAAATCCCACTCCTTGTTGTTTTCCTTCTTACAGCACGTCAGGCAAGTCCAAAAAGAAAAAGTCGCTGGTTATC